TCGCGCGCCGCCTCTCTCTCTCTCTCTCTCTCTCTCTCTCTCTCTCTCTATTTATAGGACGGTTAACGTTGTTTCGTGAGTCGTGACAGTTTCTTACACCGTTGTACGATCGAGTTTATCGAAACGCGCCGCTTCAATTATGGCGCGCCCGCCACAGAGGCACGTCCGGGAATTGGCAATTCCGGGGCGACGTAAGAAAACGCCGCTCGTTACAGCTTCGATTATGGCGAGCCCGGGATATACACATACAATTCGCCAGTTTCGCGAGGGAATTGTTCGTGAAGAAACGTACTGTGGTATCGACGGGCCGTTAGCGGCGACTTTAGTGCGCGCCAGAGATAGAAGTAGCTCGTAAAGGCCCGATGCCGTTTCCAACCGAAATCTACTCGATCACTTGTTACAATAAAATTACTACGACCCAGGCCAAGTAGCGTCATGTACAAAATAGCTTGATCTTACCTCACGAAATTTCCAGACTACTTTCACTCCTTCTGTAGATTCTTGTTTTTTTTTTTTTATTAATTCAAACTTTTACTAGAATTTTATCGCGATTGATTTAATTTGGGAAATATGAAATATGAATCAGTTAATTAAAGAAAATTAAATAATAAACTAATAATAATAAAGTTAAACAGGTTGATATTAAACTAATTATTAAAATGTAATATTATGTAAAATATTATATAAAATACATTATATTTTATAAAATATGTGATATTGATACATGTTGATTCAAAGAAACTTTTACTCTTCTATCTTAACAAATATCGCATCAAGTCCCATAGAAATCTAACGGATTTCAATCTCGGAACGAGCCAATAATTAAAACAAATAAAAAAAATCCTCTTTTCACCGAGATTATCAAATTGCAGCAGATGGGACAATGATGAGAAGGACCGAATAGAAATTGACCGAGGAGAATCAGGTTTTCACTGAGGGAACGTGAATTTCCAAAATTATAGTATCCGCCGTATCTGCGTTTGCAACCACACTGTGAGACGATCTATAGACGTTTTCATGGGCAAACTGGCCATACGGACGAGAGAGAGAGAGAGAGAGAGAGAGAGAGAGAGAAGAAGA